TATATGAACAATTGCTTTTTAGCTTTTATCGTTGATCGTTATCGTCATAGTGTAAACAGGCCTTATAATCTTCCGCGCTGTTTTTAGAGTGTAGACTGCTCTCGAGCGTTACACATAGGCCTAATAAATGTGAGCACTGAAGCAATTTAGAGCTGAAAAGAAATCTAGTGCAATACTAAAAAATAAATTAAATTAAATTAATTTAACACCAAACATTATTCAGAAGCTAATAAAATGATTGTGTTTCAAATTTTATGGAAATAAGACAGATATAGAAATAAACAATAATAATTTATATCAGAAACAACAAATAAAATGCAATAAAATCTGTTAGCACCGATGCCCATAGATAAACTAATATTTTCATATAATTTTAATTAAGTTTACCAATATCTAAGAGTCATCGTAACCATTTCAACTTCTGTAAGCCGGCCCTAGGATATAAATGTTATTTTAAAAGTTGTTAGTGTGGAAGTGGTTGCGAGCGATGGTTAACAGGACACTTTAATGCCATTTGGAGGGCACTTTATTATACACGCCTGTCTCTCTCAACACAAGAGTGTAAATTGGTAGTAGAATGCGAAAGTTATATCATGGACCTATTAATAATAGGTCCATGGTTCATATGAAAAATGATTGAATGTACGCTGATCCGAATAATTGTTAATGCATGACCAGCAATGGACCCTTCCACAAGCCCCGCCCCTTGGTTATTGTTGCTAAGGTCTTACATAACGACAGCGTTAAAACATACGCAAACACGTACACGTACGTTTATAGCACTGATCTCTACTATAATAGTAGAGCTAGAGATCAGTGGTTTGTAGGAGGACAATATGTGTGCTTGTTAGACGCGTGCGTATTCGTGGCCCTGTTCTGATTCGTCGGTTGTTAAGTTCGATTGACACCCTAGAAAGGTTCATACTCTCATCAGGTAGAGGGGAGGCTGCAAGTGTCTGGATAACAGTATGTAATGACCAGAGCAATAACAATGTGAAATGAAATGAGGCGTTCAGCGGAAATCGCTAGAAGTGCCAACAGTATGATAATGATAATAATGATGACGAGGAATGATGATGACGATGAATTAGATGAAGATGACGATAATGGCACTTGTGTCTATGATGATTATGTTGAAGATTAGCTAAATAACATACTGGCAAAATATCGATGTTGAGTTACAACAGATAGATTTTTAAAATAAATATATGGTTTAATAAATCATAGCGTTTGTGTAGTTGAATCGAGGGGTTGGTGATCGTCCCATAACATCAGGTTAGCAAGGGTGGCCCTTTCTGCTAAGCCCTGGCCATTGGAACGTCCTTCACAACGACAGAGTAAAGTAACGTATGTAAACTTGTATATGGGACATGTGCGTATTCCTGTCCATATTCTGATTTATCAGAAGTTCCAATTAAGGTACATTACTATGGCCAAGTTGTATCATGTTTTCGGTGGTGGGATTATTTGAGTTTGTGGCCAAGCAACTTTTTAAAATGTCAACGAAACTATGGAAATTAATACGACTAAACATAGGTACCGGTAGGTAAAGCCCGGATACTCCCTGTGCAGTAGTACTAGTAATACTCAGGACTAGCAATAACAATGTTTTAGTTACCATATGAGAGTTTCCTGTGTTAAAAACATGATTTACTATACTATACTTCTTTATAAAACATAACTTGTACTTTATAATATGAGAAATCTGTATAATATCGGAAAACACGAAAGTACTATGCTACTGCACTGTAATGCATAGGCCTATTTTAATACATTACTTAGATAGGCTTTTCTTTTTCCATCTTGATTTCAGAGGTCAAAAACATTTCTCAATTTTTTTTCAATCATATAGTAGTGTAGACAAGTCTTTTAAGAACATTTTGCTAGAAATTTTTTTTTGGATACGACGCCCTGTTATGGAGTTATGATTTTTTAAATAACATGATGTCAGAAAACCAGCCCAATTATCTTATTTCTGTTGGTTACGCACCGCTGATTCGCAATATTTGCCATCATTTCAAGATGTCTACCGATTCGTGAAAAAGGCTTTTCAGTTATTATAAATGTATACATTATTCTTTTATTCCAGTATTATAATTACCATTATTCATGCAATACCAGCGTAAAGAAAATGTTGCTACTGTACAAGAAGGGAATTATGTTTTTCAGTGGTATCGTATGCAAACTGCAGCCTATTCGCTGATGTTTACCTCGCCTCTAGGCCTAAGTAATTATCAATAAACAATATTAGTAGTCTAATTTGTGAGCATTTTAGAAAAAATAATAAGGAATATAGGTCTATTTAAATAGGCCTATAGTATATATTGAAAAACACAATGATGATGCGTTAAATGACAATCGCATTTGGTCACGTGATACCGTACATATTCAATCAGTTAAGCTCTGTCCACACTATTAAAATTTTCTTCGACAAAAAAAATCCTGTTGTATGCCCATATATAGTCATGATATGGCTATATATGGTCATGATATGATGTACTCATGACCATATTTAGGCATGGCACATTTTTTGGTCAAATAAAATTTGATAGCCTAAGGAAGCTTAATAGTAGTAGAATAAAGCTATTCGTTGGGAACAACTTTCATTCGATTTGATCTTCTTTTGCCAAACCCATCTCCAAGGAATGTACTTTCGCTACGTTTCCTATCATATTCACTCAAGTCAACATCACTAACTTTTGAATAAATAATTCCTCTTCAAATTTACGGTTGTCGTCCAATTTAATAATCACATCCTCCCCTAACACTTTTCTACCTCCTCTGAACCATGGCAATGTTCCCCTGCAACGATTAAAGTCTTCGCATCTTCCATTTCAAGCAGCAAGAACCTTTCGATTCATTCACTGTACACTCTTCCATTCACCCACTCTCACTCATAATTCAAAATTAATAAATTTTCTTCCCACACGACTGATTAAGCGAGCAACGTACTTGAAATACATACCCTTTCAAACACTCGTTCAAATTACAATAACTGTGTATGTGGGCATTTACTCTTTACCTCCGACGACCCTACCCAAAGCAGGCTTTTGCACTGTTTTCTTAAAGGTGATTATTATTATTATTATTATTATTATTATTATTATTATTATTATTATTATTATTATTATTATTATTATTACTGTATGTTAAGAGGATATTTGCCAAAGATAGCATAAATAATAATAATTGAAATTTGAAAGTAGAAAATTGAACAGGAAGTAAGAAAAGTCGTTAAATATCATCAACATAAGGATTGAACATGATATTAACTGAATTTCAATATCAACTGAAGTTTTATTATTCTTTATTTGTCCTAATTTTAATTGCAAATCGGAAATTTGGTCTGGGACGCCGGGGACGGACTCACGGCGCCCGCAGTGCGCGCGCCACCCATAAGACCACAACATATAACCGGGGAGCAGTCATATTAATGCTCAATAGCGGACATAAAAAACTTGTCCTTAACAGACCTAAGTCCCAATATGAGGGTTATCATCCAGGAGCCAAGCGATCAACTACATTCAAGTAACACCCGAAGCTGGCCGGTTTTGAACCGGTGTCTTTAGCACAAGAAGCATGAGGGATACCTCTCAGCCAACTGATCAGCTCAATAGTGCATCCTTAAGCGATGCGAGTGAATATGATGGGTAAATATACGTGGTTTCAAAATAGATGGAAGAAGACTAAGTTCATCCACCCCTCAAACGGTATTCTGCAGTCTACTAGACAAGTGACAATTTTGAATTATGGAATAGAGATTACCAACAATTCCGAAATGTTGTAAGCATGGATTTGTGAAATATTGAACATTGCATTGTCAATATGATTTCGTCACGAAGCAATAGCATAATAGGATATAATAATATCAATCACCATACACTTCTATAATTAAATACAATAAAGATATAATAAATAAAACTATCAACCTTAGAGATATTTAAAAGAGAATATCAACATTTCGATCTATTGCAATGAGCCTATATAAAATATGCATAAAAATTGACATTATTTTTACGTTTTTTTTGCGTATAATTATGTAATATTGCATTAAATTAAAAAAAAGTCAGATGCTTGATAGTTAGGTATTTATAAAGTTTATAAGCATATTACATTGACTTTATGTGCAAGAATGAGGAAAACAAGAAGAAAATATATAGAAAAAACTAAACGAAATAAATGTGTTTCGAGTCTTGACTTAAAAATATAAAAGGATGGGAATTCGCTGATGGTTGTTAATATGTTTAGTACCATATTATAACAGTGTTTAAGTAGCAATAAAATGCACATTTCTTGTAAAATCGTTTGTATAGAATTGTATAGATGCTTGAATTTTGATGAATTGTGACGTACTGCTCTAACCTCAGAATCCACCCTTGTATCAGTGATTTGCGTAAGCAATTGCTTCAAGTGAGTTGATACAGGGTGCAAGTATAGTTATAATACACTGTTTATAATGTCAGGTAATTTGTATCATTAGAGGGACAGTTCTACCAGAGTTGTGAAAATATATATATTTTCTTACGTATTTGCTTGTTGGATTGTGCAATTTAGTTTTAACTACGAAAGTATATGCGGCAATTTTGTATAATTTTATCAATTATAATTGTTTTTAAATAAAATATAATATCCAAGGGAGAAGTAATGAAGATGATGACGTTATCTTCATTCGCGTTCAAGTTTAATCCACAGGTACAGTACATGCGCGTATATAATACATCCTTACGCGATGCGAGCGAAGCTACTTGCGCTGCATCGCAACCAATAAAGGTGGAGGAAATCAGGATCGTTAATAGCAACATACTATGACGTCAGATCGATTATGAGAAAGACAATAAAAGTACAGTTGATACCTTCGGTTAATGTTTGCGACATATTGTTATGTTTTTTTCTGCAGCTGTTCAAAACTATCATGATTAGCATTAAATTTAATTGGCTTTATACATTTCTCCGTTATATATGACAAACATGTATAATTTGATCCAGTGACCGATATTTACCTTCCGTGACTACAGTACAAGAAACGAAACATACGCCTTCTCTAAAAGATATGAATGGGAGCACACATGACAATTGCAGCCGTCATCCCCTGAGGTCTATCTATCTTTAACAAAATCATCAGTGACGTCGTTGAACTTACCATTAATGGGATATATGGCAAGTCAATGAGAGTCTAGCGGAGGGAGGAAAGTTCACCGGTTGACAGCTCTGACGTCATATTTACGCGTGACATCACAGTAGCTCTTAGCTCGCGTCCCGTCATTGGTAATTTTCGTAGAATTTCTAAGGGCATCGACTGTTGGGTAACGTAATAGGCATGATCGATTATACTTGAACAGATGCCAATTTGTATCGTAGTATACAAACAAATTCCAATGAACTCCGGTCGTGTGTACTTTGTAGTACACCGTAGGCCTAATAGCTTTCAAACTGTCATGTAGTTGCATGCACCGAATGTCATTCAGTTAGCTTTTAAAATGTATGACATCAACGACCTGCATTTTATTCAGCCACATCACCGGACAGATAGTTCAGGATGTTGACATTCAAATTGGCATGATTATAAATTTAACTAGGCCTATAACATTTTTGGAGGCTTCAGTGCGGCTCTTATACGAGAGCGGCGCTTATTCGAGAGCGGCACTTATAAAAAAAAAAAAAATATTGGCGTAGAGCGCTTTCCATGCCCGTTCCCATGTTACCTATTTAATTCACATATTCCCATAATTCAGTAGGCCTATCATAGGTCCTATCATTGTAAACAAACGTTTTTAAAGAAATGTTTGTGTCTTCAATATTTTAGTTATTCATTTTAACATTTTATACATTGTATTTAAAACTTTGTTTCATTACACACAGGGTAATATTATATACTCTCGATTAAGCGCCGAGGCGCTTATTCGAGAAAGGCGCTTAACGAAAAAATAAAAAACACGTTTGGTGCGGCGCTTATTCGAGAGCGGCGCTTATTTGCTTATTTGAGCTTTTATGGTAAGCTTAAAACACTTGTTTTCTATGATGCCCGGAAATGCACTATTCTGCATAAGTAATTCTACTACAGATAGTTTAAAAACGAATTGCACAAAGTTTCAATAGTTTCATTCAAGATTTGTATCACACGATGGTAACAACTGCAACATATCCACAGTGTTAACAACAAGAACTTTTATCTTTTGTTTAATTAGCAAACGTTTAAATCACCTTAAAAACTGTGTTACTGACAACTTGATAATCTATAAACTATTCTGAACGTTATCAATTGATCTCTAATGTTTTCACCGCCGCCGTCATTATTATCATCATTAGCATAGCCATCATTATCAGCCATTATCATACTTCTTCTTATTCTCCCTCTTCTTCATCATCATGATCATCAGCATTTATATCATCATCATAATTTTCGTCATCGCCGCCATCATAATAAACAACATCATCGTCACTATTTTCATAAACAATCCTACATCTTCATCAACATCATCATCATCATCATTAACAACAAAAAAACATCAACAACGTCATTATCAATACCAAGCCCCAATATTATCAACATATCCTAAATTATCACAAACCTCATTGGTGTTTTGGCCAGACAGCGCATTGCTGTGAGGGGTTCGCCACTCCTCCCGCGCAAGTATGTTTACAAATAATTATCTTCATTATAGTATACACAAGTACTCTTTAAAGTGGGGTATGTTTTCTTTAGTTGGACGGAAATTAGATTTACTCTGCAAAACCAACATTAGATAGTCGCATTTAATATATGAAATACTTACAATATCTATCTCCGGCTGGTAAAAATGTAGAGGGCGTTTTGTACGAATTTTGAAGATCCATTTACATCGAGAACATTTAGGATAGGCGTACATTTCAGAATGGCGTACCATGAATAAAGTTTCGTAAATGCTCGAATAGGCGCCGCGGCGCTTATAACATTTTTGGGAGGCTTCAGTGCGGCGCTTATTTGAGAGCGGCGCTTATAAAAACAAATTGGCGAGGCACTTTCCATATCCGTTCCCATGTTACCTATTTCACGTATTCCCGTAGTCTATTGTAGGTCTTATCATCAAAAATAAACGTTTATAAAGAAATGCTTGCCTTCATTGTATTATTTGTTAATTTTAACACTGTCATTGTATTTAAAACCCTGTTTCTCAAAGTGTTTCTACACACAGCATAATATCTGTCTCTTATACACATCTAGATGTGTATAAGAGACAGTATTAATGCTCAATAGCGGACATAAAAAATGTATCTTTCATACGGACACTATACTTTATCAAAAGCATGTGGGGCTACAGCGAACATTGAACATATAATAGAGGAAAAAAATGAATGAGATAACCAAATCGACCAACGTAGAATATCCATTAGCAATAGACCTAATAACTAATATTTAAATTTCAAATCTATACATCAACATGTACAAGTATATTATTACTTAAATAGTGTTGAAAACGCGGCTAACATCAAAGGGGGATGTTACCTTTTAAACTCACTAGAAATTCCTGTCATCTCGTCATTGATTATGTTTTTGTTTAAAGACCAAAATGTCCATTAAGAAAATTGATGAAGTAACGATAACGAATCGACGCGTAGACATTATGAAGCAAAGAAAATGTTGTTGAAAGTCATAATGAAGACCGGGAACTGCCAGGATTAAGACGGGCCAATGAATATAAACGATTACATGATCAAATAACACTGGTTACAAATAGGAGAGATGACTGTTAATTGATAGACCGTTCTATTTGTATTCTGTTTGTCTACCAGAAGACATAATTTTTATCATATTATATCCTTATTTATTATCCGGGAGCATGCCGATTGCGCCGGGGACAGCTACGCAGTGCAACGATTGCAGTAAAAAAAAATTTAAAAACAATCTGTAGCGACAGACGTGTACCGATTGTATGGTACTGTATTTTAAGATTCTTTATAGGGGTGACTCCTCAGCTAGGCTGATGTTCGAGGGCCCTCTAAATGTACGGTAAGACTTCTTTTAAGAAAAATAAAAGAAAAAAAACGAATAGGAAGGGGTTCGATGATCAGTTGAGGGGCGGGAGGGGAGACTGGGGAGGGGAGAGAGGGGGGGGGGCGTTCCCCCACGCCCTAGATACGCCACTGAATAGGAAGAAGAATATGATATTGAAGATGAAAAAGATAATGAATAAGCACGTATACGTATACAACCTTGCTCAGTTTAAAGATACATTAAATATAGGCCCTAGGCCTAAATAATTAATTCAAGACAAATTTAAAATGTCTCTAGGAACTTCATGTCTGAATCCCCATATGACATTCTAAAGACGGAACCGTTGGCTTATACGAATACAATTAAATCCTGGGAACCTTACATTACATCACCGCATATAGGCTTAATAATTAGAAAAGTTAAGATCGAGTGCCGTGTTTGAAGTTAATTAAATCATGACGTCCTAATTAGACAATCACGCGTCGTTTACAAATACCAACTGTACTCTTTGTGTTGCGTTGAGGTTTGCACTTTCAAAAGTGTCTTTAAAACATGTACCTTATGGATATCTACCAGGGGTGGCGCCAGCGGGGGAGCCGGGGGCCACAGCCCCCCCTCATCGGGGAGTGCTTCCCCTCTCCCCCGTCGGGGAGAAAAAGCACAATTCGTCGGAGAGAAAAAAAATAATATGTATTTTCTACATATTAGTAGACTCTAAAATCGATTAAATAAGCCCTTGAAACCCCTAAATTGTTAAAATTTCCAATATACCACTTTCGAAACATTTTAATCAAAGCTCGACCACGCCCACATCGCTTTCGTCGCTGAAATCTGACCCCTCGTCGGGGGAATCGGCCCCCCCGGCTGGGACCTCGCCCCCCCCCCCCCGTCGGGAAAATCCTGGCGCCACCCCTGATATCTACCGATGTCGTAATTTAATGGATTACATTACGCGTTTGAACGTGCGCGACAAGACTAGCTCCTTGTTTGTAGAAGTAGGTCACGCCAGTCGACGTACTATATGAGTGATGGCGAATGTTACACCTTGTGCATGATATTACCCAAATCCAGTGACCATGGAACTTTGCGAGAACTTTTCATGCCTTGGCATTGTTTTAATTATTCGTTTGGCAATTAAATCGGATATATGTGTTATGGTGCCGATAGTTAATGAGTATAGACCTATAATACTGTACGTATAGCAACTTTACGGGCACAAAGCGTCCTGATACAATAAACAATAAAATATATTGTCTTTTGCAATATCCCACCTGCAGCCTCTAAGTGAAACCAACTTGCTTTCCAGTTAAGAGCGGCTACGCGATATTCTGAAGCCATGCTGTGATTTTTTTTAATTTCTGTTATTTCAATAGATGTAGGACTGATTTGCTACTAGTTTAGAATTTACAATTTTATTTTGTAATCATCCATGGACAATATTTAGGCCTAGGGCAGAAACTCAATCACACCCTATACCAGACACATTTTCGGTTAACTCTAGGCCTACTATAACACCCTCCTATAGGCCTAATACTTTACACCTCTGGGTGGCACAATAGTACAGTACTTTCCCCAATAGTACCCATTTATGCTTCCCTGTGGATATGTGCTCTGCCCCAGGGACTGTACAGTACCGATCGCAGCCAGTGCACTTCGTCGGACTCGGTGCCCGCACGAAGACTGCTGGCGGTGGACGCGGGCAAAATTAGCCCGCGGTGCCCGCGGGCTAGATTTTCATTGACATTTTATAAGTAGGCCTATAAGATTTGGAAATCACGATTTATCAATTAGAAACACATCACTCTATATGTGCATATATTATGCTTCCATGATTGAATTATAAAAATATGATATCATTTAGAATCAGAATATATTAACCCTTCAGGCTTTCAGAAGTGTGTTATATAGATAGTACAATTCCTCATGTTCATCGTTAAAGTACGGGTTTAAATAAAGTTAATTATACTATATAGATTTTCCAGGCAGAATTTGTGAGGTCATTAACAGTAACATCTTATATTTTTACATCACGGGCTATTTCATCTATATCTCCCAATTATCAATCCCCTCCCAAGGGGTAATTTTATTAGTGTAAAGTCGCCTCGGTCGTCCCTTGTGTCTAGTTTTTGCTATCATTCCCGATAACTTACAAATAAC